ATTGTTTTTTGCGATAGCGTGTGTTTGTGTTCCACCACTAGGGGGCAGCACCACCCATCAATTCATGTCTGGCATTGAACCTCGCACAGTGTGGATGAGTAAGTAGGCTACTAAGGAACGGCATTTGTTTGCAGAATAAATTTTAGATACGAGCACGTACAGTAGAACTCTGGAACCATTGCTGTAGTTGACAAAACACTGGGTCTGGCCTTGGCTGTGACTACTTGCTTGCTGACTTGGAAGAAGCTACTTCCCTTGTTAGCCGTCCTTGCATAAAGCAAGGGCGCTGAACTCGAGAGACATCAACGTCTTCTCTGATGCTAATGCCTCGGGCATCTCCATTCCTCTGAAAGCCAACGCGTGGAAAGGTCTTCTGATGGCGTCCTGTGGAATTCCATCTTGCTTCTTTTCACCCGAGCTCCTGTTTCTGGACACGCGTGTTCGCGTACCTCTGTGTAATTCTTCCTTTCTTGGGTAGTTGACTGTGTTTTGTTATCAATTCATTCTTGCGTACGATATGCTTGTCATTTCAAAGGAAATGGGTTTAGAGTTTGTGTTTGGTTTACAGCCAAGAAAAAGAGATTCATTTCAGCCTCATTTATTTTCAGCCTGAAGAAGCTGAATATTACAACGATTCTCATGCGAAAGATGATTTCTTCTGAATCTGTGGTTAATGCTAATGGTTCATTACAAACAACTTATATTATATAGATATATACTTTGCCCTCAAGTAAAACTTTTATCCATTTTTAGGAATGAAAATAAAGTCAAGCTTCAGGGAATATAAGTTCTTGAAATCTGACAGTTTCCAGATAATGTTAGACTATGATTGTAAGAAAAATGACATGAACTGTACATTAACATAAATCTATAACTGCTCAACTTGATGAAATATATCACCGTAAAATTCTGCCATTACCGAACCACCCGATATGTTTTTTGCTATGACACTTTGTGAGAAGGAATAAATTATCGGAGAATGTGTTGGCATCAAAAACACAGAAGTTTGTAATAAACACATAAATCACTGAAGCATCTTCTAGCAAGATGCCTGATCTCAAACACGGGGGCGTTCATACTACCTCCCCCTTCCCGCTTCCTTCTCTGTAGAACCCAGAGCCCGGGGTGCTACCGGAGAGCCATCAATTATAGAGTGTGGGAGGAGGCGAAGAACATGGTCCCCACTGAAGGTTTTCACACAGCCTCCCCACTCCCACAAGCCTAAACTTCTGTGAGCCCAGCTTCCACTGAGGTCCTCTCTGCAGCTTTGGCCTCGCTTTACGCCAGGCTGTATTTTAAAACTGGTCCTAGGTTTGTAGCCATGGTACCCTATACCAGCCAGCATCCACTGTAAAATTGACAGCACTAGCTTAACTCTGAAAGAGATGTCCTCGTGGCTCTCATGAAGACTTGGTTTGCTTTCTGTGTTATGGGCAATTAATATACATAGAGAAGCATGTCCCCTTTCTGCTTAGACTACAGGGACGCTCAGAGGCAAATTAGTAGCTCAATCTTAATAGAATGTAGTGATGCGCACCTGAAAATCCTGAATTTTATCTTTGTCATATAGTCTCTCTAGATGTTTATTTTAATTTTCGTTTTTTTTTTAAATCCTCACACCACCTGAGGATATTTTTCCTTTGACCTTTTTTTTTTTTTTTTAAGATAGAGGGGAGGAAGGGAGAGAGAGACTCATTGATTGTTTGCCTCCTGCACTACCCCAGCTCGGGTTGGGAATCGAACCTGCAACCCAGGTATGCGCCCTTGACCAGGAATTGAACTGGAGACCCTTCAGTCTGTGGGCCGATGCTCTAACCACTGGGAAAACTGGCCAGGGCTATTTTATTTATTTATTTTTTAAATCCTCACTCGAGGATATTTTTGCGTTTATCTTCAGATAGAACGGGAGGGGGGGGAGAGAGAGAGAGAAACATCGATGTGAGAGAGACACATTGACTGGTTGCCACCCACATGACCCCAACCAAGGTGGGGATAAACTGCAACCGAGGTATGTGCCCTTAGCAAGAACCGAACCCAGGACTCTCTGGTCTGCAGAGCCAAACCAGCCAGGGCTGGCCAGGGCTATTTTAATGTTCTTCTATTTTAATGCAAGTTTTTGTTAAGTACTCCAATATCTTTGTGAGATGAAGCAAAGTGTAAATAAATAAATGAAAGGATAATTGTGATATTGTGATTTATAATAAATACATATTTGGTCTTTGTCCCTGCATCTGGTATGAGATCCTAAATATCTTGAAATTTCCTAAATGTTGAGAGCTATAAAGGTGTCTTTTGTTATGTTAATGAGGCACATTTGAGGACACACCTGAGCATGGGGGCTGTTTGCCTGTGGAGCCACCCACTTGATTGGAGGGTTGACTCTTTCAGTGCAGATGGAAGTTGAGAAGGGGAGAGGAGCTGGAGCTGGAGTTCAGTCCCCAGGGGCCAATAATTTAATCAGTCTTGGCTGCGTCATGCAGCCGCCCTACAAACAGCAAGGGATGGGGTTCGGAGAGCTTCCAGTTTGGGGAACACGCAGAGACGCAGGAAGCATGGAATGTGCTCACCTGTCCCTCGCACCTGCCCTGTGCATCTCCTGTGTCTGGCTGTTCCCGAGTTACATCCTTTCACAATAAACCAGGGATCTAGGAAGTAAAATGTTTCCCTGACTCCTGTGATCTGCTCTAGCAAATTAATCAAAGCCAAGGAAGGGCTCTTGGGAACCTCCGATCTGTCGTCAGTTAGCCAGAGGCAGGGGTGACGACCTGGGCTTGACACGGGATCTGCCCCGAGGGGCGGGCGTGGTCCCGTAGGCCTGAGCCCCACCTGCACAAGTTCAGGTGGTGTCTGGGTGTGTAGCACCGAAACGGGATTGACGCGCAGGACACCCGCTTGATGTCCGAGAACAGCTCAGTAGTGCGGGGTGCAAAGCCCCCAGGCGCACGTCGAGATTGGGATCAGAACTGTCTTAGTAGTTAAACATACATATTGATAGTTAAAATAATGTCCAAAGAAGCTTCTGTCATCAAAGAAGTGCAGGTGTATGTCTGCAGCAAACAGTAAAGACAAGACAGGAAATGAGAAATCCTATTCTTGTCTGATTTCTCCCCAGGACTCATTTCTCAGTGAGCATCTGGGAAGGTCCTGTTAGGACCTGGACCATTCGCATATCAAATGCTCGCGGCCTGGTCTGGGCTCTCTCTGCATCTGGCCACCTTCCGCGGCCAGAGGCATCCGACACTTTCTCTAGGAATTCACCTGGTGTTTGAGGCGTAAAGCACGTCGGTTAATGGAGAACAGCTGTGTACATTGACGTCGTTGCAACTTTTAAGGGCTGCAGAGGCACTGATGTGGGAGCCCCCACTTCTGGGGCGTTAGGACTGGGATAGAAGAGGAGAGGGGTCCTTGGGGGATGCAGGATGGAGACAGATAAACCAGGAACAACTGTGTTTCCACCACGGCAGCACCCTTCCTGCCTCCACTACTGTGTTGAATTCAACAGTCACAGCCCTGCTCACTTCACCTCTTAAAGAGGCAAGTGAGACTTAGCTGGGTTAGGTGACTTACCCAAGGTCACACAGCCAGGGCGTGGCAGAGCTCGAGTTCTGGCTGCTACCATGGTTCCTTCCCCCTGTTTGCTGTTGAGGAGGTCTGCTCGCTGTTCCCCCAGGTCCACCCTCCACCTCCACCCCACTCCCTGCCCTGGGACCCGTCAGTATGGGCCACTTATGGGCTGCCCTGTCCTCTGGTGTCTGGTTGGGCTCAGCCCTTGGAAGTCCTAGATCAGAGGGAAGTTGGGCATGTATTCCCGTGGCTTCTGCCTTGTGAGGTCCACTCGGGCTGGTGTCCCGGCCAGGGGTCAGTGCTTTTCCAAAGTCACTGTGACCCTTCTGATCCTTAGCAACTGTCTCTCATTGCTCCGGGCTTGGGAGCGGGGACCCCGCCACTGCCTTTGACCCAGATCCTGCACACCCCTTGTTCTTCCCCTGCACCACACACCTCAGTCAAACCTTCCTTTGTAACTAACCTTTCTTTTAAAAATGTTTTTGGTTGTTTTTTTTTTTAGAGAGAGAGGAAGGGAGAAAGATGGAAACATTGATGTAAGAGAGATACATCCGTCCGCTGCCTCCTGCACACCCCCACTGGGGATCGAGCCCACACCCAGGCCTGTGCCCTGCCTGGGAATCGAACCGGGACCTCTCAGTCCATGGGACGACGCTCAGTCCACTGAGCCACACCGACCGGGCTGTACATACATTTTCTTAACTTATCCTAATTTGGGTTTGCCATCTGTTTCCTGTTAGGGTCCTAACTGTTACACTTTCCCATGAAAGAAAATGTGGTATTAGTCCCATGTGACAGACTATAGCAGTAAACACATAAAGGTGAGCTTGACATGTTTCAGTTACTGGGAAATATAAATCATGGGGCTGTCATCTTTTCCAATTGGACATTGTAAGAGGAAATGGGGACACGGGGGCAAATAATGAGAGAAGCTATGATGGATGTGATCCCATTAACTGTCCTTGCTGTCCTGTGTCTGCTCCTAGCATGGCTGAAATGGCTTGTCTCCCCCGCCCCTGCCTGTATCTTCATCTCCAGATTGGGTCGCTTTGCCTAAAGCTTACATATCTGTGTTTACATTAAATCAATCAGCATTTTAAAATTAGATTTCTATCTTGTGATTTTGTTGGGGTAGGCTTAGAAAAACAACTTAGTGATATGTTTACTGCTGTTCGTATGTTTTAAAAACAGTTTCTTTCTGAAATTGCACAACACAAAACATGAGTTCTCACAATCAATTGCTTCATCAGAAAAAATAAGGTGATAAAAAGCCCTAAAACGGGTGAGGATCTTTCTAAAATTGGTTATTTCACGAGGGATTAAAGTTCAGCGGATCACCTATTTAAGAAAATCTGTGGCCACAAACAAAAATGCAAGAAGATTTTGAAAGCAAAGAACTGTGTTTGTATGTGTCTGACTTTGTGACTTGACTTTACCTGTAACGTGTTGGCTTCTGATGTCCTTGGACATGGAGATGGGTTTGTCCACCTGTAGAAGACAGCAGGGCACCATTACGTCTCCAATTGTGACTATGATACCATCTAATGTCCTACTCTGCATGGTTAGATTCTCAAAGCTAAAGGCATAGGTCTCTCAACTCTTTGTTCTGAGAGATCACCACCTGTGTATGGTTGCCCCTCAGTCGATACGTGCAAATATGTGTACCGCTGTGCCAATGGGTGGTATTGGTCACACAAATACCTGGGTTTGAGATTCTTGAGTTCTTTTGAAGATCAGCGTACAGGCTGAAGTACACCGGGAGCAGTTAGCGGGCAGGTCAGAGTGTGGCCTCTTTGGGGTACCTGGGCTGGGGTTTCACCTCTGCCACGTGCTAGCTATGAGATGTGGCAAGTCCCTTAACCCCCTGAGCCTCAGTTTCCTCGTCTGTGAGATGGAACAACGGAAGTCCTGATACCTCAGAAGGGAGGGAGGCTTACACGAAACCCATCACTCAGAGTGCCTCGGAGCAGGAGAGGATCGGGCCACGGAAGCTTATAACTGTTTGCTGTCGTTATCCATGTTGTTGACGTGAATGAGCTACTGAGGGCTATACAACTGCTCGACAGGAGGGTGCAGAGGATGACGGCGCCCAGTCAATACCGGGGCCTGTGGAGGTTAATTTTATGTGCCAACTTGACAGGGCCGCAGATACTGGATCAACGGTTGTTTCTGGGTGTGTCTGTGGGGCTGTTTCCAGATGAGGTGAGCGTTCGAATCAGTGGCCCGAGTAAACCCGTGGCCTCTCCAACGTGGGTGGGCCTCATCCAACCCAGAGGGCTGGATAGAATTAAAAGGCAGAGAAAAGGATAATTAAATCTCTCTGCCTGACTGAGCCGGGACACTGGTTTTCTCCTGCCCTCAACTATGACTACGGCATCGGGTTTCTCGGTTCTCGGGCCGCGGACTCAGACCGCAACCGCCCCCACTGCTGTCCTGGGCTCTGGCTTCAGACGGCAGAGCTCGGGCTGAGCCTCCCGACCACTGTTTTATTTCTGTGTAGATGTGTGTGTCCATATGTCTATCTGTCCTCGGTTTCTAGAGAGCCCCGACTAATACACGGTCTTGGTGTTACTCTTCATTGGCACCAAGTTGAGGCGGCCAGGGTGGATGGGAAGAGGGGCCATTGGACCCCTGTTACCTCTGGCCCACCTCCCATTGCTAGCTTGTCTGCGGTGGGCGCTGCGGTCTTAGGACCTCAGGGAAGGGGCTTCCTTAGTATTCCTGTTCCTTCTACATTTTGTACCCTCGCTGGATCTTTTACATGAGAGTCTTTGCATCTCCCCTAGTGGTGGGTGCCCTCTGATGGTATTAGTCTGGGGTCCTGGGGCTCAGGGAGATTTCCTGCTCCTCCCCCACGGGGCTACTCCCATCTTCTGTCAAATACATTTATCAATACCGACTATACACCTGCAACGATGCTAGATGATGAGGAAACAATGAAGAATAAGAGGATTCAGACATGTGCACAGGTCTGAGTTTCCAACATATTATGCACATTGTAACAGGTGTAACTGTGAGACAGGTTTCCCAATCTGCACTAGGGAGTTGGGGCAGGATAGTTCTCTGCAGGGGGTGCTGGCTGCCTGTCTGCAGGGGGCGAGGAGGCTGGCTGCCTACATTGTAGCATGTCCTCCAGCCACCAGATGTCAGCAGCGTTCCCCCAGTCCTGATGACCAAAAATGTCTCCAGACGTTGCCAAATGACCCTGGGTGCAAAACCACCCTGGACGAGAACCGCGGGTTAAATGCAACGTGTTGTTGGACTCAAAGCCTGCTCCGTCCACAGGCTTCCCTGGAGCCCGTGGCTGGGTGAGACGTGGCGGGAGCCCTCTGTGCCCTGGCTCCCCTGTCCGAGCACTTCCTGCTAGAACTGCCGGGTTGGGCACTGCCCGGCCCTGGGCACCTCGTCTCTAGCGCTGAGCTCCGTGCGGTGCCGCCAGTGCGCAGGAAATGGAAAGCTGGGGCAGGTCTGCGGTTTGGGGCAGCTGTAACTGACCAAGGCGTCCGGAGGAAATCTGGCCTGAGTCAGGATTCGTGAAGACCGGTTCACAGTTCGCGTCATCTCAGCAGACATGTGCCGAGCTGCTCAGAATGAGCGCTGAGAATGAGGCGACAGTGAAACATGCCCCTGCTCCCCATAAAAACGTGATGATTCGAACACTGATTATGAAAGTAACACTCCCTCTTTATCTGTATTGAGGCCAAGTCCTTCTTCTTTTTTATAAATATGTTTTTATTGATTTTTTTTTTTTTTTTTTTTTTTTTAGAGAGGAAGGCAGGGAGAGATAGAAACATCCATGTGAGAAAGAAACATCGATTGGCCACCTCCTGCACGCCCCCTACTGGGCATTGAGCCCACAAGCCAGGCATGTGCCCTGGGTGGGAATCGAACTGGAACCTCTCGGTCCATGGGACGACCCTCGATCCACTGAGCCACACCGGCCAGGAGAGGCCAAGCCCTTCTTTAATTTATAAGACAGTCCCCTCCTGGCCAAAGGAGTGCTCGCACCCCTCACACTCTTCCTCACGTTTGTCACCTGACTTCACAGGTGAAGATCGTAGTTCCACGTGCTAAGTGGTCCAGCTAAAGAACATTTGTTTTGTAACAAAAGCTACAAAGATAATACGAGAGACTAGAAAATAAACATGGAGGCTTAAATTCTGGCATAGTTATTTAAAAACAATCAAATGAGAATTATCTTTAACAACTTCTTCTGAAGGTTCACAGACATGCAAAGGGTGATTGATCAGTGGGGAAACGAAGACTCGTCATTTTGGGTGGGCCTTCTCCGCTCCTTGGTCACCAGACCAGAATGCGTGTCCTGAGCCTCCGACCCAGTTGCTCTGAGGTTCTCCTCGCTCCCTGAGTGGGCTCTGTGCGCTAGTGATGATGTCCTGACCTGTCCTTGTCCCTGTCACACAGCCCCGAGTGCTGACCCTGATGCAGACCTCAGTGATGGCAAATAGTCCCACCAGGACTTAGACAGATGGAAAAGGGTTCCATGTGCACAGAAGTCAAACTGGGAAGAGACGGGGCCTCCTTTCCTGTAGACAGCCATTCATATTTCAAGATTCTGTGCAAATGGTCGAGGGCTTGTTCGTTGTCACCTATTTAAACTCTATCTCTTGAGAACCTCTCTTGTAAGGCACTGTTCTAGGTGCTGGGCCAACATGGTCCCTGTCTTCAAGCAAGTGTCCTCTGTTGACGGACTGCGTGGTGCCAGTCACTGCGTTCTGTGGGTATCAGCCTAACAGCCAGAGACCTCGCGGCCAGGGCCATCAAGCCTCAGAAAGGGCAGCGGGCCCACACGGACAGAGTTCGTAAAAGTGGGAGCTGTTCAAATGGGGACTGTAACGCTCATCTTGCAAAGTTATTCTGAGGATTAAATGCCACTCCTCCATTCCAATCTCTATTCAGAAAGACCTTCCTTAACTCCCCTTCCCCAGCTCTGTTTGTTTTTTCGGAACACGTATCACTTGCCATGGTGTTTAACTATCCATTTATTTGCTTATTTATTTGTGACTGGTCCCTTCCACCAGCAGGAGCGTTCGTGAGAGCAGGGTTTGCCTGCCAGAGTCTACCGTTGTGTCTGGTCCGTGGCAGGCACAACACATGTGTCTCGAATGAATTTGTTGCATGGTTACAGTGTTCAGCATGCTGCCGCGGTGAGGAGGAAGTACCCAGTGTCTCACCCCTCATCTCGCTCTCCCTGTCTCTCCTGGATGTGTGCTGTGTCAATGACATTGGTAAAATTTGTAATTTCCTTTTCTCGTCAATATTAACAGAAGCCCTCAAGTTAAACAGATGAATGATGAGAAAAAATAATGCACACAGAAGAATGTACTGTATTCAAATCATATTCATACTCACCAATATATGTGGCACCAATTAAAAAACACACAGTGAAATCACTTAAAAATGATTTAAAAGGTAATAGCCAGTCTTGTTTCTGTGAGGTGGACATTCCCATATAAGGCTTCTGGGTGGATAAATTAAATAAGTTTTGAGGAAAGGAATTTCACAATATGTACCAAAAGCCTTTACAATGTTTTCACTCCATGGTTAAGGAAAATAATTAAAAATTCCATAATGGGATGTATATCTATAAAGATTATGCTTATTAATGCTTCGCACATGGGAAATTGTTTTATAACCAGAATGTAACGTGAAAATAAAAGAAAGTCAGGAGTATACTATAAACAAGAACTCCCCTGCATAAAATACGTCTGCATAGGAAATACTGGTAGGAAGTACACCCCGCATTAGGACTGAGAGCCCTGTAACCCCAGGGCTGATTAATTTGTATTTTATGCATTAAGACAATAAAACATAGCGAAAGTGTCATTAAAAATAAAGTTCTATATATGTGTCTAAAGCATTTGCATTTATAAGATATTTTCATGGCAGGGAGTTTTGGTTCAGTTTTATAGATGAGGTCAAAGTTAGCAGTTGCCAATGTGGGGCCTAGAATCTGGGCAAAATGGTATGTTATTACCAAAATGATCTGAGTGCAAATCCTGCTTCTGGAGAAAGGAATGAGCGTTGGGTGAGATGCATGTGGAAGGCCCGATGGCTGACTCACAGATCATCCTCAACCAGTGTGCGCTCTCCTGCCTCCCAGGGGACCATCACCCCACCAGCCATGGGAGCTGGACCCGCTCATTCCTAACAAGATGCTTCAGGAATGAGAGACGGGAGCTCCTGGCCGCTAGGAGTCCCCCGCATATGTTTGGCTCACACCGTGGAGCCTTTACTCACTTCTTCCGGCCTCGTCTGTGTGGTCCACGTTTGCCCCTCCGCAGGGACAGAAGGAAAAGCACCGAGGGAAAGCGGAGTGTCGTCCATGCCCTTGAAGTAGCGCGTATCTGCGCAAAGAGAAAAACTAGTCTCATACCTTAGATTCACTCAGCACATTACAACTTATAAAACTTTTGCACACCTGCAAACTCACTGAGTCACCAGAACAAAAGTGTGAGGCAAGCAACTGTACTCCCACTTCACAGATGGGGAGACTGAGGCATGAAGAGGAGAAAGCCCTCCCCTGGGGCCATGCACATAGACTCCCAAGTCTGGCCTTGAACATCCTCATTTTCACCCCCTGCGGAATTCTCATCCTTCAAGGCTTGGGTTATATCACGCCCTTTGAAAATCTTTCTCGCTCCTACACTCTCCTTTCTATTTTATACACTTAACCTATTCTATCATATTTATCTGTTGACCTTTCTGTTTCTGCCAATAGATTGGGACCTTCCTGAGAACATGGATTATGTTTTATCTTTGTGCCCCTTGGTCAGTCCTGGCATGATGACTGGCGCACAGTAGATGCTCAGTAAATGCCTGCTGAGTGAATGAACCATGGAATAGCATCCTTATTTCCAAGGTGATTCTCTTCAAAAGAACTTCCACAGATTCATGTCGGTGGGTCAGGCCCTCAGAAATCACAACTCCTCCTCGTTCCCTTTCAAAGATGTACTGTATCTAAGAGAGCTCAAGGAAGCTGCCCCATGCGCCCGAGTTAGAGAGAGGCCACGGTGGGTGTGAATTTAGGTCTTCCTTATTCGTAAGAAGTTGGGCCTTTCTGCCATGCTGTGTGCTATTCGTATGCTGGGTACCTGCACAGTGACTACCGGTGAAACGCCTTGCTCCCACGCTCCACTCTATGCACCCCGCCCTCATACTTCCCACGTTGCCCCCATCTCTTCCTGTCCACTCTCTGCCACGCTTGTCAGCTGTTCCCAGGACCCAAGAAGAGCGTTATGATGACAGTAACCAATAGTTACAGAGCTCGGACTCTGCCACGTTCTCTCGTGGGAACTCGACATACATCATGGCACCCTCCAAAGAACTCTCTGGAATAAGTTCTATGACGATGACCCCGGTTCTCAAGCAGGGAAGATGAGTTTCAGAGACATGCTCGAGGTCACACCTCTGGAAAGCCCTAAAGGCAGGGTTGTAGCCTGGATTATTTAATACAGAAGCGGCAGCATTAGTTACTGTGCGATACGGCTTTAGATACCAACTGTACCTGCATATTCAGATTCCTTGATAGGCCTGGCCGGTAGGACTTTCATTGCTTGCCAAGCCTCTGTCACATGAAGCTTAGGGTCTTCATAGTCATTATCTCCATGGCCTTCTGCTCCCGGTGGGATTGCAGCAAAGTTCCTTCCCTAAGCAGGAGGGAACATCCGGGTGAGCCAAGGGATGGTACAGTGATGATAAAGACTCCAGGCCACAGGGCTAGCCAGGGAGAGGTATGAGTTCTCCTAGGGGTTTAGGAGTCTGTGTTCTGGGGCAGTGAAATGCTTGAGGTAGGCGGTTCCAATGATGCCCCCAATATTCCCATTCTTTGTTATTCAACCAAGTACTGACTGAGGTGCTGCTGTGAGGGGACACTGCAGATGTGATTACAATGACTAATGAGCTATCTTTGGAACAGAGAGATCAACCTAGCTTACCGAAGCCCTTAAAAGCAGAAAGGGGCTCTCTCTGCAGGTGACAGGATCTCGTATGCAGGAAATCCCAAGGAGCCCACTAAAAATTATTAGCACTAACAAACAATTTAGCAAGGTGGCGAGATACAGAATCACTATACAAATTTCAGGTGCATTTCTAGACACTAGTAATGAGCTCCGGGTCTGACCGCCAGGGGCAGCATCACAGAAATCCTGCACGGTGCACCCACGTGTTGTGATCTGGAGCCCGCCCTGCGGCATTGGGCAGGAAAACGCCTCTCAGTGATCTTTTGTGCATCCTACAGAACCACCAAGCGATCCTTTTGCCTTTCTGGGTCTCGGAATGCTCACCTCTTGTCGTGTTTACAGAAATGGTTTTTGTCTTTATTTGGGCCTGAGAGAGAATCCACGCGTCACACTAGCCAATAATGCTGACGTTCTGAGAGTGTCGTGTGATGCGAAGGGCTCAGGAGGAGGAGACATAGTCATCTCCAAATGAAAGGTGACTGTGGCCCTGAAATGCTGACTCCTTTTCTGTCTAACACTGTCTTCTTTGGACATCTGTCATGAGTTGCGGTGGCTTCAGGCGGCACGGTTGGGCTGGAAGGGGTTGGCAGGTGGAGAAGGCTGAGACACACACGGGAACATCTTTGACATCTTCAAGTTTCTCCTAAGATTCCACATAGTACTCCATTGTGTACATGTACCACAACTTTTTAATCCATTCATCTACTGATGGACACTTGGGTGGACCAGTTCCAAGAGACTTTTATGCACACTCCCCAATTTGGCCTTCAAAATGAACACCTTTTATGCTTCTTTTACAAATATAGGAACTGGGATTGGTGACTTCTGAAAGCCACACAGGTCATGGGTGCCATAGAGGGGTAGAACCAGGTCTTTCCACCACACCTACACTGGAAGCCAGGACCAAGCATTTATATTTAAAGTTGTTCTGCACCCTGGAAATAGAGGGCAGAGAATTTGGGGTATCCCTTATGTGACAGCACCCATAATTTAGACTTATTTATTTACTTAAAAAAAATTTTTTTTTTGGTTACAGATGTTTCTCCTTTTTTACCCCATTGACACCCTACTCCCATCCCCCCAACCCCGTCCCCGGCTTTGTTGTCCATGTCCATTGGTTATGCGTACATGCATATAAGTTCTGGTTTATCTCTTCCCTCCCTCCACCACCTCCTCTTCTGAGGGTTGTCAGTCTGTACCCTACTTCCACATCTCTGGGTTTACCCTATTCCTCAGACTGTTATGTTCATCACATTCTGCAAATAAGTGAGATCATGTGGTATTTGTCTTTTTCTGCTTGGCTTGTTTCGCTTAGGATAATACTTTTCAGGTCTCTCCATGTCGTCTCAAAGGATAAGAGATCTTTCTTTCTTACAGCTGCATAGTACTCCATTGTGTATATGTACCACAACTTTTTAATCCATTCATCTACTGATGGACACTTGGGCTGTTTCCAGATCTTAGCTATTGTAAATAGTGCTGCTGTGAACATGGGGGTACATATATTCTTTCTGATTGGTGTTTCAGGCTTCTCAGGGTATATTCCTAGAAGTGGGATCACTGGGTCAAATGGCAATTCAATTTTTAATTTTTTGAGGTAACACCATATTGTTTTCCATACCGGCTGCACCAGTCTGCATTCCCACCAGCAGTGTACTAGAGTCCCCTTTTCTCCACACCCTCGCCAACACTTGTTTGATGATTTGTTGATGGTGGACATTCTGACAGGTGTGAGGTGATACCTCATTGTTGTTTTAATTTGCATCTCTCTGATGATGAGTGACGTTGAGCATTTCTTCATATGTCTCTTGGCCATTTGTATGTCCTGTTTGGAGAGGTGTTTATTCAGCTCCTCTGTTCATTTTTTAATTGGGTTATTTGTCTTTCTTTTGTTGAGTTGTATGAGTACTCTGTATATTTTGGAAATTAACCCCTTATCTGATGTATCATTGGCAATGATGTTCTCCCATACAGTGGGTTGCCTTTCCATTTTGATGGTTATTTCCTTTGCTGTGCAGAAGCTTTTTAGTTTGAAGTAGTCCCATGTGTTCAGTTTTTCCTTTGTTTCTGATGCCTTAGGTGATGTATCAGTGAAAATTCTGCTGTGTATAATGTCTGAAATTTTGTTGCCTACAATTTCTTCTAGGATTTTTATAGATTCACGGGTCACATTTAAGTCTTTTAACCATTTTGAGTTTATTTTTGTGTATGGTGTAAGTTGATGGTCTAGTTTTATTTTTTCTGCAAGTAGCTGTCCAATTTTCCCAACACCATTTATTAAAGAGGCTGTCTTGACTCCACTGTATGCTCTTGCCACCTTTGTCAAATATTAATTGAGCATATTGCCTTGGATCCATTTCTGGGTTTTCAGTTCTGTTCCACTGGTCTATATGCCTGTTCTTGTGCCAGTACCAGGCTGTTTTGATTACAGTGGCTTTGTAGTATAACCTGATATCTGGTATTGTGATCCCACCTACTTTGTCCTTCTTTTTCAAGATTGCTGTGGCTATTCGAGGTCTTTTTTGGTTCCATATGAACTTTTGAAGTATTTGTTTTAGTTCTATGATATATGTTGGTATTTTGATGGGAATTGCATTGAATTTATAGATTGCTTTGGGTAATATGGACATTTTAATCATGTTAATTCTTCCAATCCATGAACAAGGTATGTGCTTCCATTTTTTTTGTATCTTCCTCTATTTCTTTTTTCAATGTCCTGTAGTTTTCTGCAAATAGATCCTTTACTTCTTTGGTTAAGTTGATGGTCTTTATTCCTAGGTACCTTAATTTTTTTGCCATGATGATAAATGGGATTGTTTTTTCAGTTTCTCTTTCTGTGAGTTCATCATTGGTATATAAGAATGCCATCGATTTCTTGACATTATATTTATATCCTGCTACTTTGCCAAACTCATTTATTAAGTCTAGTAGATTTTTGATGGAGTCTTTAGGGTTTTCTATGTATAATATCATGTCATCTGCAAACAATACAATTTCACTTTCTCCATTCCAATTTGGATCCCTTTTATTTTTTCTTTATGTCTGATTGCTGTGGCTAATACTTCCAATACTATGTTAAATAAGAGTGGTGAAAGTGGGCATCCTTGTCTTGTTCCTGTTCTTAAGGGAAATGCTTTTAATTTCTGCCCATTGAGTATGATGTTGGCTGTAGGTCTCTCATATATGGCCTTTATTATATTGAGATATGATCCCTCAATTCCCAGATTGCTGAGAGTTTTTATCAGAAATGGATGCTGGATTTTGTCGAATGCTTTTTCAGCATCTATTGATATGATCAGGTGGTTATTATTCTTTATTTTATTTATGTGGTGTATCACATTTATTGATTTGTGAACATTGTACAAGCCTTGCATCTCTGGGATGAATCCCTCTTGGTCATGGTGAATAATTATTTTGATGTATTGCTAGATCAGATTTGCTAGTATTTTGTTCAGGATTTTGGCATTTATGTTCATCAGGGATATTGGCCTGTAGTATTCTTTCTTTGTAGTGTCTTTTTCTGATTTTGGAATTAGAATTATGCTGGCCTCTTAAAATGAGTTTGGAAGTCTTCCTTCTTCTTGAATTTTTTGAAATAGTTTGAGGAGAATGGGTGTTAGTTTGGTAGAACTCCCCTGTGAAGCCATCCAGGCCTGGGCTTTTGTTTGCTGGGAGAATCTTGATTACCTCTTCAATGTCCTTAGTTATTATTGGTCTGTTCAAGTTTTCTATCTCTTCCCGGTCCAGTTTTGGGAAACTACGTGTTTCTAGAAATTTGTCCATTTTGCTTAGAATGTCGAATTTGTTGCCATATAATTGTTCATAGTAGTTGTTAACGATCTTTTGAATTTCTGTGGTGTCAGTTGTTACTTCTCCTCTTTCATTTCTGATTTTGTGTATTGGGTTCTCTCTCTTTATTTCTTGGTGAGTCTAGCTAAGGGTCCATCAATCTTGTTTATCTTTTAGAAAAACCAGTTCTTTGTTTCATTGATCCTTTGAATTGTTTTTGTTTGTCTCCATGTCATTCATTTCTGCTCTGCTGTTTACTATTTCCTTCCTTCTACTTACTCTGGGGTTTTCTTTCTGTTTGGTTTCTAATTCTTTAAGTTGTGAGGTTAGACAAAGTTGTGAGGTTAGACAGTCAATTAGAAATTTTTCTTGTTTCTTGAGGTAGGCCTGTAGTGCTATGAACTTCCCTCTCAGAAATGCTTTTGCTGCATCCCGTAGATTTTGTGTTGTTGTCTGTTCATTTTCATTGTTTTCCAGGAAATTTTTAATTTCTTCCATGATCTCCTCAGTAACCCATTCATTGTTTAATAGCATGCTATTTAGTCTGCATGTGTTCAAATGTCTTTGCATGTTTTTGCTGCAATTGATTTCTAGTTTTATGCCATTGTGATCTGAGAAGATGCTTGATATGATTTCAATCTTCTTGAACTTGTAGAAATTTAGTCTGTGCCCTAACATGTGGTCTATCTTTGAGAATGTCCCATGTGCACTTGAGAAGAATGTGAATTCTATAGTTTTGAGGTGTAGTTCTCTGTAGATATCTATTAAATCCATTTGGTCTAGTGCTCCATTCAGAATATCTGTTTCCCTGCTAATTTTTTGTCTAGAGGATCTATCCAGTGGTGTCAGCAGGGTGTTTAAGTCCCCCTGATATGATTGTATTGCTGTTGATTTCTCCT